AGAGTTTGAGTCTTGGTGCCACTTGGACAAGTCTCTGTTTTCCTTAGTTTCCTTTTCTGTAAAAGAGGGGATAATAGTAGCACCTCCTTCACTGGTTTGTCAGGAGATTAAATGAGCTCATATGCATGAGGAGCTTGAGACAGAGCCTGACACATAGTAACCAGCACTCCATGGTAACCACCACTAACATGGTGTTAGTGTTATTTTTATTGTATTGTTTAGTTAGAAAAGAGGGGCCTAGGAATCAAAAAGCAAACAGGAGATGAAGTAAATAGTACAGTAAGAAAAAAAAACAACAGGATTTTGTTCTCAGAGCAGCCTTAAGAATAGAAAGGAAGGGGCGCCTGGGTGGCGCAGTCGGTTAAGCGTCCGACTTCAGCCAGGTCACGATCTCGCGGTCCGTGGGTTCGAGCCCCGCGTCGGGCTCTGGGCTGATGGCTCAGAGCCTGGAGCCTGTTTCCAATTCTGTGTCTCCCTCTCTCTCTGCCCCTCCCCCGTTCATGCTCTGTCTCTCTCTGTCCCAAAAATAAATAAACGTTGAAAAAAAAAAAAATTAAAAAAAAAAAAAAAGAATAGAAAGGAAGCTAAGGCAAAGTCTACACCTTAAAACCACGGTTCCTGTGTCTATTGAGAGAGAAGAGAATGAGACGTTGTAAGAGAGGTTGTTGTAGTTAAGCCAGCGTATTCTCGTGTGTTCTGGGGTGACAGTGACTTGAACAAAACCAAAGCTGTGTAAACCTGCACGGGTGGAGGACAGGCTTGCCACCTGCGGGAAAGTGTCCATGAATGTCCTGCTCGTGAAAGTGCACGTGCAGGAGATCCTCTGTAAATTCCAGACTGAGGTTACTACATGTACAATAACAAGGATGACTCAAAATGTGACACGAAAACATTTTCAGGAACAGTTCTGAATATCTGAAAACTTAGAATGAACTGAAGCTTACGATAAATGTCAAAGACTACAGTGACTTTTTGGAATGTTTGTTCAGAATAAAGAACAATAGGTTGTTGCTTCAATTTTTGTTTGCTTCCATGTTCTATGAAGAACATAGATCAACCATGGTTGAATGAGTTCAGGTTCCCAGTCTTTGTGTGTTTATCCAGGTATCAAAGCCACTCCTAGTTACTTAAATAATAATGGGGAATGAGAGAAGTACCCAGCAGACATGATTTTCCAGAGGAGGTGTATGAGTAACTGTCACAAACATTACAGCTTTTTGTAAATCTTCCCCTGCTCTGACACACTTTTCAGAGGTACCTAATTTGAATCTCAGGCTTATTTCTGCAAAGTTCCCCAAAATTGTGTTACTTCAATTTTTTAGCATCCTATCCATTTTGATATGTAGTGGGGCTTTTTTTTTCTTAATAGTTGACAGTCTTACTTTTAACTTCTTTGTTTAAATTTTATTTTTGTTGGTATTTATTACATTTCCAAGCAGTTGGGACTATTCTTTTTAAACTTTTGTTTTTAATTCTTGTTTAATTGTACAGTATCAAAATGCAGTTTTGGCATTTCTGATTTGGGGAATTTGTTTTCTTTTATTCCTGCTGCTAGAATTTGTATAAATTTAATGCTTCATAGAGCTTTGAAAATAGGTATATTTTCAGCCTTTGTTGGTCAGAGCTTGAATCATTTAAATTTGTTAATCATATTGTTTAAACTTTTTAATGCTTTTAATACTTCTTTACTTGAAACAGATCGACTCATTTGTATTTTAATTATGTTTATATAAATAAAGTATGCTCACTCCAGGAGTATTTATAACTGATAGAAGTTTTGCTTTACAAGTTAGATGGGATGTGATTTTGCGTATAGCATTCACGAGGGTCATACCTTTCATCATAAAATTGTCTCCTATCCCAATAACCGAATTTTGAATGTTTTCCCCTCTATTTTCAATATACTGTTAATATTGCTGCTTCTGTTTTCTTTTTTGTTCACATTTATCAACATTTTATGTTTAACCTTTACTTTTGGTGTCACTTTGTTTTAAGTGTGTCCCTTGAAAACATGTCATTGGATAAAAAAAATTGTTCTAACTTATTTTCAGTAAAAAAGTAACCATTTTATATTTTTCAATATAACTGTGATGCTTGATTTTGCTTCTCTCACCTTGCTTTATACTTTCTCTTTTGAATTTTTTGCCTTTTTTTCATAAACAGTTGTGATTATTGTTGTTTTCTGCATTGGCTTGAAGTGTAGGCATTCTTTCATTCCTTCCTAAGGATTTTCAAAGACTTCCTTAAAACATAGTAAACTATCACATAGATTAATCACTTGCTCTTTTCTCAAGCTCTAAGGCATTGAATTAAGGTTTACTACCTTCTTCTATGTCCGCTTTCTGAGATGAGACAGCAGCAATTTGGGGACGTTTGTGCCTGTTTGAGTGTCTTTTAGCAGTATCTGCTATAACTTAAACCCCCTGATTTCCAGTATATAGCTTGTACCTCTCTGACTTAAAGTACTGACTTGGGTCTCCTCCTCTCCTCTCCCATTTCATATTTCTTGGTTCATGTAACTGGGAATTTAGGAGAGGAGAGTTAGCCGCTTGTGCATAAAACTCCATCTTGTCAGAAATTTGGTATGCTATATTTCAAAGAGGTGCTGTGATAACAGAGCAGCTTGACCTTGATGAGACATGAAATTATATCAAAAAATGTGCAATTTAGGAAAGGGAAGTGTTTATGTCTGGAAAAGAGAAAACCTAAATGGAATGTGACAGCTACCTTCAGATATCCAAAGGGATGCCATTTGGAACAAGGAATAGACTGACTCTGTTTCTTCACCAGCTGGTCCCAGGCCAGGGTGAGTGAATTAAACCTGTACAAACTGCTGCCAGGAGGACACTGTCTTACATGTGGGTGGGGTATTGAACCATTTGATTTCTAAGGTTCTTGCCAACACTATGCTTCTTTTAATGTAAATAGGTTTCTGAAATGTGGGCCATAAGACGATTTTTCCCCCAAATTTAGTGTGTGTAAGAATTGAATGAGACCCTTGTTAAAAATGCATGTATGTGAGCCCGGAAATTTTGACTTAGTTAAGTTTAGGGTAGGACCTAGTAATCCATTTTTCTCATGTAAGTTAATTTTGACAATATGCTGTTACTCTTAGGTAAAATGAGTTTATTAAAATACTATTCTTTGGCATTTTATAATTTGCTCTTAGGATATATTTCATGCAACCCATTCTTTATTGATAGTAACCAACCATAAATATTATCTTAACTGAATTCATAGGTTTGAGTAAAAAGTAAATGCAATTACTTTACAACATTTGCTGCTATAATTTAAGGTTTTGTAAGGATATGGTACCTAAGTGCTACCTAAGTAACCTAAAATGGTACCTAAGTGCTAGTATTGAAGAAAATAATTGAAGTCAACAATTCTGCATAAAACTGTCAATGTGGGTCCTAGTGGAAGCAGACAACAAGATGTCACAGTAAAAGATAAAGGGGAAAGAGAGCAAGAAAAGTCTTCATCAAGGTGCAGTTTGACACTTGTGGAAGTTGAGAGAGGGAAGGAAAAGAGGACGAGGAATGGAGAGCCTCAAACAGATAACAGCTCTGAGGAAGTCTGAGCCAGCCCAGTGGTCAGCGCTGATCCAAGTAGCCACAGAAGAGATCACTGCTGGGCAGACACGGCCAGGCCCTGATTCCCCCCGGTTCTCGGTCATTGACTGGGAGCTTTGTGGGGAGAACACGGCTTCTGCTTCAGTATGGCGGCACATGTCAAGTGCTGCAGCTGAGACTGTAACCTGCCAGTATTCCTCGCAACACGTATTCTCTCTTTTTCCATTTTCTTTCTTTCTTTCTTTCTTTCTTTCTTTCTTTCTTTCTTTCTTCCTTTCTTTCAAGAAGAGTAGATGAGACTTGTCAGGAGGAAAAGTTGAATCATTTGCACATTATGCTTTTTCCCTTCCAGGTGGAAATTGTAAATGTGCATGCATGTTTATTTATACATATAGATGCATCAGAAAATTGCTCTTCACTTTTTTGTGGTCAACATAAAAAATAATCGTTATTTTTAAAGCTAGGAAATTTGAGTCATCTGATGGAGGAATTTTGCTGGAAAGGTGAAAAGCAATTTAGTCATAGGTATTTATACATATATCAGAATATTAAGGAAGAGAGATAGATAGATAGAGGAAATAACATGTTACTGTCTTTGGATCTTCTTTTGGTGGGGGGGAGATATACAAAATGTCTTCCTAAGGGAAGTTATTCTTTTTTAAAATCGTTTTGTTTTATTTTTTTCATCATAAGTTTACTCCTTTTTTTAAGTAACTCTACAGCCAACGTGGGACTCCAACTCATGACCCCCAAGCTCAGGAGTCACAGAATCTACCCACTGAGCCAGCCAGGAGCCCCAGCAAGTGTACTCCTTAATCCCTATCACCTGTTTAACCTATCCCCCCGCCCCCCGCCCCCCACCCCTCTGGTAACCATCAGTTTGTTCTTTATAGTTAAGAGTCTGTATCTTGGCTTGCCTCTCTCTGTCTCTCTGCCTCTGTCTCTCTCTGTGTGTCTCTTTTTTTTCTTCTTTGCTTGTTTGTTTTGTTTCTTAAATTCCACATATGAGTGAGGTCATATGGTATTTGTCTTTCTCTGACTGACTTATTTTGCTTAGGTAGCAAAACCAGGTATTCTGAAAGATCTGAGTATCAGTACATGTTCATGGCTGCTACAAACCCAAACCATATATTTTTCAGTACGAGGGAGAGTATGTGCTTACTTGGAGGTGTAATTTGACATTATCTGGGCTGATTTCCTTTGGCTTCTCTTTATTTGACTTTAATTTTATTGCTTTAAGTTTCTCAGCTTCCATTTCATCCTACTTTTTCATATGTCAGGTGTACAATGTGAATGATAATGTTCATGTATAATTTTATTTAAATTGATACAAAAATAAAATACTGTTTGTCAGGATGTGATGGTAAAAAATTTTCTGAAAGATGTGGGATTTTAAAAACTCAAGAGTCTTTCATGTTATTCCTTTAGTCTGGCGGCAAGAAGAACTTGCACGCATTAACCAATCTTTCACTGGGGCTGAAAGGAAAGCTGCTTTGTGTGAACTTCTGGAAAAAGAGACCCAGATAATTGCTTCCATTGGGAGGCATAGATACATTGCATATACGGCAAACCAGGAAGCACTGATACAAGCTTTTTTGGATAAGGTTAGTAAAGTAACAATTATTTAAATAAGAATGAATCCTGAGTTTAAAAATGTAGAATAATGAACTAAAGAAGAGACTGACATTGTACGAATTTTCATGTTTAAATTTTCTGTTTTTTTTTTTCTTTTTTCTGATACAGCTTTAGATTTTTAACTGTGGCCTAGAATAACAATTGACAATTAACATGAAATTAATATGTTCTTAACTAAAAAGTTTAGGCCATGAAGGAAAAAATAAAGCTACCTTCCTCGTGACTCTGTTCATTTAGATTTAGGCTGGCTACAGAAGTTAGATCAATTACACACCCTGATGAAATGTAGAGTTACTGAAGTCACAAAATGTCTGGGTTTGGGATGCCTCATAGTAAGCAACCTGGGGAAAAGAGCTATAGATGAGTGTTTTTGCTTTTGCTCACCAGGTCATTAACTGACTGGAAGTTTCTGACCAAAAATGTATATGATTGTTGAAAACCATGAAAACATACAATTAAGGGAAAAACTAATTATCTTTTTGTGTTGAAACTGCCTGTTCTGTTTGATATTGATTGCATAGCCTGTTTCCATAGTGACCAGTCTCCTTTTGTAAATCTGATCTTTCCAAACAATTAAAAGCCAATCCAGCCACAAGAAGAAAGGGGATATAGCGTTCTTCTAGATCTTTGCCTTTAGTGATTCTAGTTGTATGATTCTTGTTACTTGAGAACATTCGTTTTTAAATACCATATTTTTTTGATACTCTAAATGCCCTCCTCTCATTTTACTAATACACTCTCCTTTGATCTCAATTTTTCTTGTGGCTTTAACTACTACCTACATCCTGGAACTCCCTGCAGGTCCAGACCAGACCTCTCTAAGGAGCTTTGGAATCATGTATCCAAATGTGTTACAACTTGCCTATTGTAATTGCTTTTGGGTGTCCCAACAGTACACCTTAAGTTGACATGTCAACACTGAAATTATACCATCTCACCGTTCCCTGGTCCCGCATCTCCAAACAGATGCTGTTCTGTAGCACTCACATCATTATTCTTTATGAATGTTTCATCATCTGCTCAGTTGCTGAAGACACCTGGGCATTATCCTTGGCATCCCATCCAGCCACCAACCAGTTTGTTCTGCTACTTTAATAATTGTCTCCATTCTTTACTTCCTTTTCAAACCCACTACTACTGTCTACAGGGAGATGGCTCTGCCATGGCACCCTGATGCCCTTGCATGAATCCAAACACGCCAGGTAGGCAAAGACTTGAACCGCAGCGAATCTGAATTTTGGTGGAATGTCTTGTGATCCTGCTGGAAATTGAAAGGATGGGAGGCTTCTGAAGAGACGCTATGGAGCGGCTCCTCTCTTTGCTTTCCTGTGTCCCCTGGGAAGCTGTCATGAGCCAGGCCTTGTCTCGTGTGTGTGTGAGATTGACAGTGACTTATCTGATTGTGGATTTCCTTCTCATTTGGACTGCTTCATGTCTCCAAATTAGGCTCTCAGCCTCCAGTCTCACTTCATAGTTCCCTCCTCTGTCATCCATACCACGGCCATAGTGACCTCACTAAACACATCTCTGCCCCTGCCCCTCCTTACTGCCCCTCAGGGATTTTCACAATGGATACTCAGCACACCTCACCTGCTGGTGTCTCACTGTCATCTCTCCTTGCAAACTACAGCCACACCGCCCCAGCTCTGTTCGGTTACTTGCACGTCCTCAGAAAGGTCACGTGCTCTGCATGCTTGTGCATCCAGTGTTGTCTCTACATGGAGCATCCTTTACCTCCTTCATTAGTAGCTAGTTATACATCCTTCAAAACAAGCTCAGATACCCCTTCTTCCAGAAAGGACCTACTGATCCTCCTGCTTTAGCCCGTACTATATGCTTTCATGAGACCCTGTTTCACTTCTTAGTAAATAGTGGTCAATTTTTAAAATTTTTTTAAAGTAAACTTATTTATTTTGAGAGAGCGTGCAAGCAGGGGAGGGGCAGAGAGAGAGAGGGAGAGCGAAAATCCCAAGGAGGCTCCATGCTGCCAATGCAGAGCCTGACTTGGGGCTTGATCCCACAAATCGTGAGATCAAGAGTCAGAAGCTTAACAGACTGAGACACAGGTGCCCCCGTAGTGGTCAGTTTTTATTGTATCTGTATACATGTCTGAATCATTCCTGGATACTGAGCTTCTTAAGCAAAAGCTATCTTTTATCTCTGTATCTTCATGTTCTAGCATAGTGCATATCACAGAGTATTAATACATGCTTATGGAGGAAGGCAGGAAGGAAAAATAAGGGACAGAAATAATGGTTGTGTAATCTCATATTTCAAGTATTGTCAAGAAATTATACAATGTAGATACTGTCACTTCAAATTGTTGAGTATCTTCATTCTAGGAAAGATATGTCTCCCGTATGGAAGCATAATATTTATACTTCTCCAGGATCATATTTCAAACTAAACTTATTCCTTTAGCAAGTTACTTTATCTTGAATCCGGCTTCATCACTGGGAACCATATTCCTTATGTGTCTGATTGTTAACCTTACCATTGGGGACAGCATAGACCCAGGGCAACAGGGACCCAGAGTGTTTGAAGGAGCTGGGGGCCTCTGAGGTACAAGGGACAAGGAAGACGCGTGGCATCTACCCTTCCTTATTTGAGGCTGGAGCTTCCACAGGAATTCCTACTTATGCTTTCTCTGATGCTTTGTTTCCTATGAACTATTTAAAATTCTTACTGTAAATACTTATACAGTGTCTATTCTTATTATGCCTTTATGCACCACCCACCCCTCTCCTCACCCCCTCCAGGCCTCTGCCTAACATTGTATCTAAGCTTTTTTTTTTTTGAATTATAAAGCGTGTGAATGTAAGGTCCCAGCATTTCATATTGACTCTGGAGCCACTTAATGACCATTGTTTTCTTATGAAGTGTATGTAGCACTCTATGAAGGTCGTGAAATCTCGCCAAAAAAAGATGAGATAGAGAAATTTTGTTCATAGGATTTTTCACGAGGAAGAAAAATGTGGTCTTTGTTTTTGTTTTTTGTAAAAACTGTTAAGTTGTAGTAGAAAGTGCGACCCTGAAAGATCCCGAGTGTAGGAAGAATTGCCAGGAAAATGGAAATCTTTGACTGTTGCCAGGAGAGAAAAAGAGAAAGCATAGTGAGGAGACAGCTGGGCACAATATGGTTCCTCGTGACTTTTTAGTTATATTATAAAATAAATGAAACATTAAGTGCAAGATAATTGTTTTGGTAAGAGGAGTGAGAATGAGAGAAATGATTGGGCCTCAGTGTCCATACTGATTTAGGGCAGCACACAAAGAGGCAAGACCAGAAGACTGAAGGAACGATGGAAAAAATAGCTATAAGAACTTGTAGAAATCAAGGGAAAGGCTTTTTGTGGATCATAGGTTTTAGAATTTGAGTTCTAAATCTACGGTTACATCAGCTGATGAACCAATTAATCTCACCCGTTCATAGGCTAAGATTTAGAGGAAATGGACATTTTAGCTGATACAAGGGAATTTTACCTCAGTTTTGACCAAAATGTTGTAGAGAGCAAGAAAAACACAACCAGAATGGAACTGCTACACTTGAAGTCAATCCTAGTCCATTACATAGACTAATTAGTCCAGTCTTTAAAAATATTAACTAACAGTGACTTTGACATACTTTTAATCTGTTATGGTAAATTATAAAATATTTGTTATTCTAATGCAAATTCATTCAAATCACCTTTTTGTATAGGATGCCATACTAAACATCATGGAAAGCAATTAAGATAGATTTTATAGTTTTCCTTGTAAATTCTTATACAATATCCATTCCTCTTTATGCCTGTCTACTTTGCCCCTCACACATGCCGAGCATTGTCTCTAATATTCAGGGGGACACAGTGCTGATTTCAAAAAAGTTGGAGTAACTTATTATCCTACAGTATTTTTGATAACTAAGAAAAAATAGCTTATAATGAATCCCTGAAGCTAGACAAGGTCAGAGTTTTTTTCAAATGTCAAAACTAACAACGAGAGCCATAATGCTGATTTTCAGGTCCACGTTTAGCACTAAAACACATAGATACATAGAAAAATATTTACTTTACTATAATTTGGAAATAACTTTCAACAATAGAATTTTATGTTTGGTTTTAGTTTAACTTCACTGTATCTAAGTATTATGTGGTTTATTGAACTAATATTTTTAATCTTCTTATCATGGACATAGACATTAAACCAATCAGGTATTATGGATTCTATACTAAGCCTTCATTCTCCATAAAAGGCTTAATCTAAAGATTTTTGAAGTATTAGTTAAATAATTTGTAATTTTAACACCTCAAACATTGACCTCCACAGGTTATCAGAGGTTAAAAACTCACAAGCTGACAGAGGTGAAAAAAAGCAAGTCAAGAAATTCGAGTGAAAAACCATCAGTCAGTTTCTGATGTATCTTGGGTTCTCTTTACCCAAACTGTGTTAAAGAGACAATTTGAATTTCTAATCTGCAAGAGGTTTTCCCTAGAGTCAAGGCCGTTCCTTTCTTTGATTCGCATACCACTTCTCACAATCACAAGCTACAAAACTGGAATCCTTGTTAGCTGTGTCATTTAAGTGTTTTTCTTTTTCTCCCCCATACTCTGGTGGCCAACAGCTAATGGGATAGGAAAATACAACCGATTTTTGCCTCTCTCTGAGCACCACTGTGCACAGGGGTGTCCTCTGTGTATGAACAAAACCCCTTTGCTGTGTAAAAGGAAAGTTGATCACTACACAGTAGCTTTTGGGGGTTAGGGTTATTCTTAATTTGTGCCCTTGGGGACCCGAATATTAATTTAGAAGGAAGAAAGCCCTCCTCTCACAGTACAGTCATTTCTTCTCTTTTGTGGGAGCCTGCTGCTCTCAAGGTTTTTGTTATCTCTCCACCTTCCCTTCCTTGAAATGCCTCTTCCTGCTGTTCTTCTGTTTCTCTCCTCCAGAGTCTTCCCTGTCTCATTTGTTGGCAGCTTAATGGAATTTATTACGCTCCTATTTTCTGAAGCAGTTTAAGAGCATGATTGTTGTACGTCTCTTATTATAGCCAAAGCATTCAAAGGAAAAAGGAAATAAGAAAGAGAAATAAGCAAAGATGATGCATTTTCCTGTGTCAGGGTAAAAAAAATACCTTAAGGGCTGAAATCAAAGAAGCTTAGACTTGAATGAAGACCAGGTTGTCAGTGTTGGCAGAAATATATCCAAGTATAAAAACAGCTTCGTCAATAGATTTTTTTTTTTTTATATCTTTTAGTACTAACTAGGGAAACTTGAACTTCAAATCTAGGATTCTTTGATTGTGAAGAGTCAGTTCCCTTTACTCTGGCTAATTCGTGGTTATTCTTCAGGTTTCACCTTAGATAATATTTTCTTTTCATTAAGTAATTGCTTCATAGCAACCTATGGTTAGTTACCTATTTACCTGTAATCATGAAGCAGAATTAACCTGTATTTTAATTACTTGTTTTCCTATCTTTACATATTATGAGATTTGAGAGTTCTTAAAATCAGTATTGTTTACTCTGTACCTAATACATTAATATATAGTAAACACAATATTTGTGGAATGAATGAATGAGTACTGTAGGTCATATCAGATATATAGAAACACATGAGAATTTATTTCTTATAATCTTTTGGGAGAAATAAAATTAACAAAAAAATAATTATAGAACAGCTTAAATTTAATTTCCCTGAGTTATTGAAATAGAGACACGGTATATTTGTGTGTGTGTGTGTGCGCGCACGCATGTGTTTGTGTGTGTGTTTATGAGTACGATAGGACTTCAGATACTAGTGATTTCATTGGTTCAAAACATATTAGGAATTTTTATGGAAAAGGTAGAGTTTGAGTGAAAAATTGCAGGGTGGGAAGGTGTTGGATGGATGGGTGGATGTTGAATGTATTTGGAAAAAATCTAAGATATTACCAAATCGTACTATATTAGATGGGGCTAAAAACTTGGAGGGGAAGTGGAGTTAAATCAATCTATCAACTGAAATACAATGAAGTAGATGAACTACATATTTCATTAAAAGGTAATTATTGGGGCGTCTGGGTGGCTCAGTCAGTTGAGTGTCTGACTTCGGCTCAGGTCATGATCTCATGGTTCGTGGGTTCGAGCCCCGCGTTGGGCTCTGTGCTGACAGCTCAGAGCCTGGAGCCTGCTTTGGATTCTGTGTCTCCCTCCCTCTCTGCCCCTCCCCTGCTCACACTCTGTCTCTTTCTCTCTCAAAAATAAATAAACGTGAAAAAAATTTTTTAAGGTAATTATTACAAGTGAAATAAAAGGATTATACAAGTGAAATAAACCTGCAGAGCAAAAGGTATTGCCCACATTACTAGAAGAAAGGAAATTGCATTTAATAGAGTCATCCTGAAGAAAATGGCATGGCAAGATTAAGACATTAGTTAGACTTTAAAATATCACAATATGAGGAGCACCTGGGTGGCTCAGTCAGGTAAGCATTTGACTTTGGCTCAGGTCATGATTTTACAGTTCCTGAGTTTGAGCCCTGCATTGGGCTGTGTGCTGACAGCTCAGAGCCTGGAGCCTGCTTTGAATTCTGTGTCTCCTCTTTCTCTGCTCCTCCCCTGCTAGCACTCTGTCTCTCCCTCTCTCTCTCTCAAAAATAAATAAAGCTTAAAAAATTTTTAAATATCACAATATGAAACTCAGCCTAAGGTTGCTTATTCCTTAAAAACTTTTAAAAGGAGCTTTGAAACATTTAACTTCAGTAACACTCTGAGGCCTACCCCAAACAAGGCTGTATCTATTTAAAATAATCTATATATTGTTATTTCTAAGTGATAGTAATTAAATGACAAAATATTTTCTTATTGAGCTATTTCCCTCTTATAATCCTTAATAAATTTTAGCTAATTCTATCAGTCTGCTAATTAGCAGTACATTATTTAATATTAGATATATGCCTTAAGAATATAAATTAATTATAGGGTCGCAGCCTCTCACTTGCTGGACTTAAACTAGAACTGAGAATCTAAAGTTTCTGATGGAGAGTCCTAGCTCTGAACAGCACTTATTCTGGCTTTGATCAGAAAATGCTGCCATTACTTTGAAAGCATCTCAAATATAGTTGTTTTTAGATGGTACTTTTCAGTTTTCAATGTAATTTAGCTAATATGAAATGTAAGAAATTTAAAAGTAATTTAAAACTGTAACTGAAAAACATATTCACCCTTATATTATTTATTTGGCTAGTCTGCATTCCTGATGATTTGTTCCCATACAAGGGCTTCTAATTAAACTTTAAATTATATCAAATCTAAGATATAAGTGGCTGCAATTATGGCATAAATTAGACTACAGGTCTCCAAAGCATAAATTACCATTCAGTCTACAAAAAATCCAGCATTTGGAGAGTTAATAGTCATGATCAAAATAGGCTTGTTTCTGTTAGATTATAATCAGGGAAAGAAGTTGAGCAGCTTTAATACCATGAAGGAGAAGGGAAAATAGTGAGGTTTCACTGTGAAATTTCTGGGTGAAGGCATCTTCGTAAAGTCTCGGTCGGAGGGAAGAGAAGCAGTGGCAAACACAGACTTAATCTTCACTAACGATTGCACTAGTGTCTCTAGTGTCTCACTCCACCTCCTGAATTCTCAGCCTGGGAGTCCACAGATGAGCTTCAGGGCAGGTGAACTCCATCTTTAACCCTCAGCTCATGAGGTCAGCTAGGTTGGGAGGCACCAAGGCAGAATTGGGAGTAGAGAGTGAGAATCTTAGCCATCATCATCAGGGAGGTAGGGATCACTGCTGAGATAGCTAAATATAGTTGCTCAACTATGTACATCTGTTTTGTGAAGAACTGTGAACTTGTTAGAGATTTATGTTTATAGGAAACAAGACCATAACTCACAGAAGTCCCGTTTTGCTGTGTCCTTAGTTCTGGCGCACTGAGGATTGTAACAATTGCTCCACAAAAGTTTCTTCAATTGACAAAGCATGATCAAGACACATTTTTGTAACTCAGTGTAATTGAAACAAGCAGATCACTTTTTTTAACATTAAAAATAGCATGCCTTTTTCCAAGGGTAATGAGTTATTCCATATACCCATTCAGCCATTCAGCATACTAGTTAGTACAAATTAGTACCAAATTCTGAATCCTGTAGAAATGCTTGCACTTCCACAGGCTAAATAGCTCATTCGTACTTTTTTTCCTAAAATGCTTTATTTTCCCATGGTCTACAAATTCTGCAATTATTCATAAAGCACATGATATTAAGTTAGCTTTTAGTAGAAATTATTTTTTAACCTTTAATTATAACTGATAATTATAAACATATTATTATTTTTAAGTGTTCAGCTCCAAAGGTATGGAGAACATTTAGCGGCAAAATAATTGAGATGGATACACAGTTCACCATCAGAGCCAGAGAGCTGCAGAACATCTATAAATGCATAATGCTGAAAAATATCTCTCAAGATGAAAGACTGGATGTACTCCTAACACTTAAACATACTGTGAAGGTACATTAACTTTCTCGTAGTTTTGAGGTATCACTATCAATATTAGTATCACTATTGGTATTACTATCAATAAAAAAATGAATACTAAAATAAGCTGTTTTGTATTAATGGTAAAGATGACTAATCAGTATGTATATATATAAATTTGTTTTGTCAACAGCTATATTGTTTTGGTGTCGTTTGGGGAGGATGTGTTTTCTGCATTAATATTTATCTAAAAATTCTCAAACTATATATTACGATACATAGAAGTATGCACAATGGATAATCTAAATGGAAATAAATACCCATTTCTATGTGATGGATGCAAATATATGCAAATATATATATATATAGCATGAGATTAATACTCAACTCAGTTCACTAAAACAGCAATTTCTATATATTTTGACACTCTTCAATAAAAATTTTATTTTTAGCAATTTTAAAGCAGGATGAGAATATTTTTATTTTTTTCTCATCATTTATTAATTTAAGACACATTAAGCAATTGAGTAAATGGTTCGTGTTGAGCACTAAGTCTGGATAGATCTCTTACATGTCCCTCCATCTTGAGAGCAGAGGCATTGACTCAATGAGGCACTGACTGCTTTTGTTCTGGATTACGTTTTTAAAGATGTTTGTGTAGTGACTAACATTGGAAGATAGAGATAGTTAGGAAGAAAGGGAGAATCAGTAGGTCCAGAGGTAGGAAATAAGCATGATGTATGTAATGGGCGGTAAAAAGGCCAGATTAGAAAAAAGAGAATGCAAGTAGGGAATACAGTAGAAATCCTCCTAACTAACGAATTTAGGAACATGTTTTGGTTAATAATAAAAAAAGAAAACCAAACAAAAACAGAGAATAGGCTTATAAAAATAAATTGTGCATATCTTAAGCAATATGTTTAACCTATATATGTACATGTATATTTATTTAACAATATTTTATTGGAGGATTAAGGCCTTTAAACATGACTCAAATTCTGGCTCTATTCATTATGGCTGTACAACCTTAGATAAGTTATTTAATATTTCTGAAAATCAGTTTCATCATTTGTAAAATTAGTTGCATTGAGGATATAGATATATATGTGTATATAATCTATGTGCATCTATATGTATTTATAAAGTATAAATAAAATATAATCTGTATTATCTCACTGCTTATGAATAGGGAGCCCTCAAAAAATTATTAAAAAAAATTTTAATGTTTATTTTTGAGAGGGAGAGAGAGACAGAGTGTGAAGCAAGGGAGAGGTAGGGAGAGAGGGAGACAGAATCTGAAGCAGGCTCAGAATCTGAGCTGCAGCACAGAGCCCGACATGGGGCTTGAACTCGCAAACCGTGAGATCATGACCTGAGCTGAGGTCAGACACCTAACTGACTGAGCCACCCAGGTGCCCCAATAATGGGTATTATTTTGATGACAGTTACTGAGAGAGACCAGTGAATCTTAAACTTGAGTACACATTAGAAGCATCCGAAGAACTTGAGAGAGTGAGATGCATAGAGACAGAGAAAGAGAGATTGAAAGAGAGAGAATATGAGAATAAATGAATAAGGAATGATACTTAGGCACAATTTCAGAGAAGTTAAATTAGATCCTCAAGTGTTAGGGCAATCTTAAAACCTTCAAAAATCTCTCCCGGGTCATTCTAATATGCTTTCAGGGCCAAGGACCCTGATCTAGACTCTTGTGTTAGCTATACTAAATATGTATTAAAAAGTACAGGAGAATATTATTTTATAGTTACAGATGTCACATTCTGACTCCTTCATTCAAACTGTGTTTTAGTCCTCTCTCAGGCAATTGGAACAACTTACTTCTATTCTACTGCTCATAAATCCTGCCTTAATCACTTAACCCCTACATGGGGCTTTCTTATTCAACCACACTCATTTCTGTGATTTTATTAAAAATTATTATGAATTATACAAATTTGCAGAAGAAATACATGAAATATACGTGTACAATTTAACATATGAAGTCACCAACCACATAACCACTCTCTGACCCAAAACAGGACATTGCCAACATTGCCAAGTATCCCCTGTCTCTTCATAATCCCAGTTCACCCTCTTATCCCCTAGAAGTAACTGCCATATTGACTTTCACAGTAGTCATCTCCTTGATATTCTTTATAGTTTTACCATCTCTCTATATCCTTAAATAATATAGCTTAGTGTTGCTTATTTTGGAATTCATTTAAGTGGAATGATGTTGTATTGTTCTGTGTCTTACTGCTTTCACTCAACATTACTTTTTTAAGATTTAAGCTTGTTATTGTATATAGCTATAGTTTATTCATTTCCATACATATAATAATATTCTATCAATATGTGCATTGTATGAATAAGTCAACACTTATTTATATCATCAATTGATTTATGGATATTTAATTGTTTCTAATTTTGTGCCACTGTGAACAATGACTTTACATGCACATTTCTCTACTCTTAAGAGGAGAATTGCTGGGTTGTAGATTATGCATATCTGAAGCTCTACTAGATAATGTGAAAATTTTTTCAAAATTAGTTGTACCAATTTTTACTCCTGCTAGTTTCTTTTGCAATTTCTTTCTTTTGGAATCTAGTTTCAGTTTGTTTGGTGGTAATTTTGAAAGCTAACAGTGATTTTTAAAATTCTATGCTGAATATGTATTTTGTATAGGAACATGAATGTAAACTGACTCAGGAAATTCTAGAATTGATTGACAGAGAGGTTGACCTTATGATGAGAGGCGTCAAACATCATAATCTTGAAGGGCTCAGAAAAAGAATCGCAACACTCTTTTTTCATTACATCAAAACACCTCTATTTAATCCAGAAGTTGCAAGACACCTTAAGGTACTCTACTTTTTTTCCTGTATTCCTTCCTCAAAATTCTAAAATGTGCTGTAGTAAATTGAAGTATATTCAAATTTTGCTTTAATGCATTACTTGGAGTCCATGTGGAAGACCATCTTATTGGTGACATCTCTTTTGAATGATTGTTTTTTATGTTAACAAATTAATCATTTAACTTTAGTGTCTGTATTTTCAACCTTGAGTTCTTCCCTACTCTCTGAACCAAATTGAATATTGTATTATGTTGAATGCATTATGATCTCTTTCACACCTTCGTGCTTTTGAACACACTTAGTTCTACCTGGAATCCTGTCCCCTACTTACTCTGCTAACTCCTGTTCATTTTCTGACATTTAATTCATGGGTCCCCTCTTGCATCAGGCCTTGGAGAGAGTTCAAGTCTTCATTTCTGAGATTCTACACATACTTTGTTTGTGTTGCCTTCTAATACTTATTGCTTAGTCATAGTTATTACTGAACAGATCCATATAGGTATCCTGATAGAACTTCAAATGTAACATGTATTTGAATGAAACTACCTTTTCCAACTCCAAAATGCTTAAGTTTCTATGAAGATTTTGCTATCTAGCGCCAACGTAAGTATCTCATTGCCTTCTTACTGTGTCAAACGATTTAAAACACTTTTGGTGCGGTTTGGAAGGGAGCGGTTTACTAAAGAATTCTAAATGGTGTTTTATTCTAATGACTATATTTATAGTTATAAGTAAATATATACAGTATTAAGAAGCTGGCTAAATATCTATTTTGCTTTTTTGATATAAAATCTCAATATTTAGTCAAAACTTTTAGAAAAATAAAATTATTTAATTTTTACATTCTTTCTTTTTTAATGGAGTTTTAAAACTTAATTGTATTGCAAGAGTATTAAGATACAACAAAAGTCAGGGATGCCTGGCTGGTTTGGTTGATAGAACATGCGATTCTTGATCTCAGGCTTATACATTGGAGCCTCATGTTGGGTACAGAGATTACTTAAAAATAAAATCTTAAAAGAATATACATAAAAAAAGTCCAAGAGAAAAGTTGCCCATTATGTTATTTCTTATTCAAATTAATGTTCTATTTCCCCAGGGTAACTTCTAGTCCTTCTCTATAGACTTATCTCAGCTTTTGTATTTTTACCATAATAGAATTTAATATTCTACACGTTCACCTAACATACCATTTTATTCAGTTTTTAAACTTACCTTTGGTCAGATTTACTATTTGGGGGTCAGTTTTGACAAATACAGAGTCATGTAATCAATACCTAACCCAGAGTGTCGTATAAGTGGAATCCTACTGTATGTAGCTTTTTGACACTGGCCTCCTTCATTCAGCATACTGCCTTTGATATTCACCCATGTTTTTGTATCCTTAGTGTTGTTATACCTGAGTAACACTTTTGTTGTCTGAATGTAGTAGAGCTTGTTTATCCATTCACAGTTGTAGGATATTGAATTGTTTGTTAGAGTTTTGGACTTTTGTGAGTAAAATCGCTAAAAACACTTGCTTGTGAGTTTTTGTGTAAATTGATTGTTTGGGGTTAAATACCTGGGAAGTAGAATTTTTTTCGAGTCATCTGGGGAATGCACATTTACCTTTATAAGAGATGGCCAGCCTTTTTTCCGCACTGGTTGTGCCATGTTTCATCCCCATCTGTAATGTGTGACATTCCCATTGTTCAGTATCCTTGCCAGCAGCTGGTAGTGCCAGTGTTTATTTTAATTCTGGAATTCTAATAAATGTGTAGTAGTATCCCATTATATTTTAATCTGTGATTTCCTAATGAATATAATATTAAGCATCTTTTCATGCACTTTTTTTTTTGCCATCCATCTATAACTTTTTGGTGAAGTATCTGCACGTATCTTTTGCCACCACGCCTTTTTCAAAATTGAGTCATTTGTTTTATCATTATTGAATTTTGAGAATTCTTTGTTTATTTTACATATAAATCCTTTGTAAGATACATGATTTGCAAATATTGGCCCTCTGTCTGTGGCTTGTCTTTTCATTCTCTTAACAGTATCCTTAGCAGAAAAAAGATGTTTTTATTTTTATAAAGTTGAATTTATGCATTTTAAAAATGGATCATGCCTTTAGCATTTATTTTGTAGTTATGAAATCTTTCTAGAAGAATTAATATTGTTAAAATATCCATACTACCCCCTCCCACACACAAAATGTACATACTACACGAAGTGATCTACAGATTCAATGCAATCCCTATCAAGATTCCAATAGTATTTTTCATAGAACGAGAAAAAAATCCTAAAATTTGTATGGAACCGCAAAAGATCCTGTATAGCTAAAGCAATTTTGAGAAAGAAGAACAAAGCTGGAAGCATCATGCTTTCTGATTTCAAACTATATTCCAAAGCTATAGTTCAGACAGCATGGTACTGACATAAAAACAGACACAGAGATCAATGCCACAAAATAGAAAGCCCAGAAATACACCCACAAAGGAACTAAGGACACACAATGGAGAAAAGATAGACTCTTTATTAAATGGTGTTGAAAAACCTGGATAGCCACCTGCAAAAAAAAAAATCAACCTTTATCTCACACACATACAAAAATCAACCCAAAATAAAGATTTAAATATAAGACCTGAAACTGTAAAGTTATTAGAAGGAAGTATAGACAAAATGTTGTTGACATTGGTCTTAGCAACAGTTTTTTTAGTCATGGCATTGAAAGCAAAAATAGACAACTGGGATTGCATCAAACTGAAAAGCTTTTGCATAGAAAGGAAACAATCAACAAAATGAAAGGCAATGTACAGAATGGGAGAAGATATTTGCAAACCATATATCTGATGAGTTAATATCCAAAAAAAGGAACTTATACAACTCAACAGCAAATTCATATTAACCCAATTTAAAAATGGGCAAAGACTTGAGTAGACATTTTCTCAAACAAGACATACAAATGGCAACACATACATGAAAAAGTACCCCACATCACTAATTATCAGTGAAGTACAAAGCAAAACCACAGTAAGATATTCAGCTCACAATTTTGGAATGGCTGTTATCAAGAAGATAAAAGATAGCAAGTGTTGGCAAGGATATGGAGAAAGGGAACCTTTGTGCACTGTCCTTTGAAATTAAATTGGTACATCCATTACAGAAGGCAGTGTGGAAGTTCCTCAAAAACTTAAAAATAGAACTATTATATGATGTACAGTTTCAAGTTTTGAATATTGATCATTGAGCCAATCCAAATTTAGTGTTAGGATGAATGAAATAAGAAATACACTTAGTTTAGTGGACTTTCATCTATACATGAATCTAGCCATTGCCTGTAAGATTAATGTAGCATAGCACCAAAAATCTAAATTCTTTTTAAAAATTAAGTGCCAAAGCACTTTGAAGTTTTCTTATGATTTTGCAATCTAAAGCCTTCACCTACTAATTTTTTTCTGCCAATTAATTTTTAGGTGTTTTTACCACATGTATCCAAGGGTTGATGAATAATACAGATTTCTTAACATTTTGGCAGGATAAATGAATACTGCTTGAAATTTAAGTTTTGTGTATAATATTAAGTTAAGGGAAAATGTGACTTTAAAAATTAGCCAACTTTTTATCTCATTCTAAGATAAGTTAGTCCTCAGTATTTCTGTTGGTTAGTATTTGGCCTGACTTTTATAACTAACTAACTTTCCTTCCTTCCTTCCTTCCTTCCTTCCTTCCTTCCTTCCTTCCTTCCTTCCTTCCTTCCTTCTTTCTCTTCCTCTCTCTCTCTCTCTCTTTTATTCTTTAGGTCCCTCAAGACCCATTGAAGTTTTATAAGAAGATTTACTTTTGCCACAGTTGCCAGCTCTATTTGCCTTCCACAGAGTTTGCCGTATCATCCACCTCACACCGCGCATACCGGTGTCGTAACTGCATTAACCTTGACAATGAGACTCGGCAACGAGAATCATTTCTGAAGTACAAATGTTTACTTCAACGGCTCTACTATTCAGAAGCTGATTATGAAGATGATTCTAAAATTGCTTTCCTGATGCAGGTATGATCAGTAAGGGTTGTCAGTCATGGATGAAATTTGTTCGCTGATATTACAGAAAAGATTCCTGCTTTCCCACAGAAACCTTTTAAAATAATGGCTCCTTGGGTCATTGGGTGGCTGAGTTGGTAAAGTGACTGACTCTTAATTTCGGTCAGGTCTTGATCTCAAGATCCTGAGATCTAACCCCCAGCTCATGCTGGGCATGGAACCTGCTTAAGATTCTCTCTCTCCCTCTCACCCTGCCCGTCCCCCACTCATTCTCTTTCTCTCTCTCTCTCCATCTCTCTCTCTCTCAAAAATTAAAATAAAATAAAAGTACTTTTATCTATGCTTATACTTGGTGACGCTTGCCCCTCTGGCAATTCTAAGTTTATATATGCAGACTTTGTGATAAGAAGTCATTTCAAGACTTTTAGCTAATATGGTTTAAATTGTAAAAGTTTTTAAACAGTTATTTCATTTCCCCCATTTTCCTTATTTTTTTCATTAAAACAACAAAGTCTTTTTAATAACACTAAGCAAATTGCTTACTTTATTAAATCTCAATTTCTTCATTTGTAACATGGAAATAAAGTGACCTACAATAACCCTGAGAATAAGATGATAGTGACAAATTTTGAAAAGCACCAAGTACCATATATACATGTAAGGTAAAATTAGCATACTGGATGAAATATATGCAGCTTTTTCTGGGTTAAAGATGCAGTCATGACTGTGAAACTGATAATGTAGTTTGGGCAGAATGAGCAGAGGTTTGGAGAAAAATAAATTGTAAGAAGCAACTTCATGAATAACGTTTCTCTTTTAAAAATATACTCTTATAATGTATTTCTTCAAGTAATTTAATAATCTTAAAGAAATGTTATATTTAGAAGAAAACATTATTTTTCAAATTTGTTTTGACATGCAGCTAGAAGATATTCAGTACCTGATAGAGAACATCTGGGCATCGCAGTCAGCACTCAGTGCCTGGAATGATCTCCATGATCTGGTCATGGTCAGGTGGGATAAGTCCTTGGAATGGTCCCCCTGGAACTGCATTCTTCTTACCAAAGATGAAAGCATTGCTCATCTCAAGCTAACAAGTATTGAAGAGGTAAGAAAGCAGAGAATTTATTTGGGGAACTCATTTAATCATTGAAAATTTTAGAGATAGTGTGACTGCTTTTTACTACATTCCAAGGATAATTTAAATACTTCCATTGGATTAAGAAACAGACTGGATAACAGTAACAAATATGTGGATGGTGTGTATGGCTGAGATTAAAATTAAAGGAAGCCAAGGCACGGAAAAGGACAAGATAAGAGATCAGAATATCTTACAAGTATCTAAACTGGATATCACTCTCTCTTAATAATAGCAAGTTGAAGCACATAGTTCCATAGTAAATTCCATGCGGACAGAGGTTTTATTTAGCTTATTCATGTCTGTATCTCTAATACCTACACCAGTGCCTGTCCCAGACTAGGGGTTTACTAAATATTTGTTGAATGAATAAATGAAATAACAGATAGGTATTATGTAACCTAGACTCTGCCTTTCTTTGATTAACCATCATGAGTCTGCCTAAAAAGCACACTAAATTCTCAAATTTTGTTCATAATCTTGTGCTCTAAATGGCAATTATACTGATGGACTATGGTTCTGAGGCTCCAGTTTTCATTTTCTCCCAAATGACTAGGAGTGGGGAAAACGCTGTAAAAATTCAATACCATTTAATTTCATTAACTTACAAGATGCAATCTGTAAAACATTTCAATGAACAGAATTGAGTTCATCAGAGAGCTTCATTTACATGAAGCAAGCTTAGGACCCAACAGTTGATAGTGATTCTCTGCCTTCTATTGATTAAATTCCTATACTTTGAATTTCATGCAAAATGTCAGTTAGGAGAAAATAAAGAACTGACTTCAAATATAATAGTCACTTTGAATGGTGCTATTCCCTGCTTGTGTTTTTACTGGGTAGAGGGGAGGGTTTAAAGAGGAGGAACTAGTTAAATTTGTAGTTTTTTGGAATAATTTTCCAGTAGAAGTCAGGCTAAGAAAAATTGCACTCTAGGGATTGAAAGAAAGAGCAGCAGAAATTGAAGCTGTGTTAAATATTATATTTAGTAAACTAAGCTGCTTCATAAATATGTAATCACTCGAAGCATAGCCAATACTACAATATCATTTCATCTAGGACCTATAGTGGGATTGAAGTTCATTCCCAAAGCTGATATTCTACTGTTTCAATTAATCCACACACTCCCTTTGTGTATTTAATCAAATTAGTGTAGTATCCAATTAAATGTTCTATTCACATGCATTCCTAATTTCTGGATGCCTATAAATTTCTATAAAGAGAGCTAAGGTTCTCAACCAGACAAACTAAAAAAAAAATGCCTTTTTATGGTTTTGGACTAGGTGTAATCTTTTATTAATATTCAGCTTTTTAAAAAGAATAGTTTGTATCTTGCCGCAAGTTAAAGTTAAAGCATTTCTAGAATTTCCTTAATGCACAGAGATATTTGCTTTCTCAGTAAGTAAAAAAATACTCAAACGTTAAAATAATCTTGGCCCCCTGTAATCATGACACAAGTTATAGGAAAAGTGTGGAAAAGACTTCTGTTCTCTGAACCATAAATGAGGCAGAGCAATTTCTCATGGTACACACGTTGGTCAAAGCAGGAACAACAATGGATGTAAAGTCAGGAGATCTGACACAGTATGTCCCCATTTCTGTCACTAACAATCTGTAGGACGTTAACACCTGCCCTCTTTGCTTCACAAATTTTTATAAAGTTTAGCTAAAATCATGGAATCAATATAGAGGATCAGAGCAGCCTTGGTTGAATTCTGGCTCTATCATTTATGAACTGGGAGAAGTTGAGCAAATTTGTCAATGTCTTAGTGCCTGTTTTCTCATCTATAAAAGGGGATGATATGAAAAGGGAAATAATATAAAAAGGGGATAATATATATTGGATATTTTCCATTTTATATTATTCTTTAAGAGTTGCTAATTGTTCCTTTGCTTGTATGTACCATAATATGCTTATCTCACCTTTAATGATTGTTTTTTTTTCTATAAAGGTACTTTGAAAACTTATAAAGATCTGTACATGTATAATTTAATGTTGAATAACAGAAGTGTGTTAGTTTTTTGTTTTTTTTTAATGAAGTAAGGACTAAGAAGTGGTTGAACATAGTTAGATCAGTGCAAAGGATGAGTATTATGCCCTGGTAAATTGGTCTGTAAAAAGGAAACTTTAAGCCAGGACACTCCTACATGATACTCTCTGCCAGAATGGTGTGTCCTTTAGCTCCTTTCCTGCAGGCTCTCTTTACATTTGTTTTGACACTATGGAGGGTCTTTAGTGAGGGATGTATTACTTTTAGAAAACAAATTCTAGGAGGAGGTACAAGTAGTGGTTTAGTTGAAAAGAAGGGTCGATTAAGATTAATAAAGGAAACAGATGGTATTTATTAATTCAACTAGGATTTTCTTTTGAATGTGCCAGATACAGTGCTAAGTGCTTGGAGAAAAACAAAGATGTGTAATGGACACAATCATTGTTTCTGTTGTATTTAAGTTTGGTTGGAAATAACAGACTAAGCAATTTATAATGACTTAATTAAATGTGAAGTTAATTTCCTTATCAAACAAGAAGTTAAGTCCAGATGGTGGCTCCACAGTGCTCTCAGAAACCCAAGCCCTCTAACTTTCTCTTCAGCCATCTTTAACCTTTCACTTTCATTCTCATGCTTGTGGAGTCTTAGAGATAAAATAGCTCATTCTCTTAAAAAGCTTTCTTGTAAGCTTCATCCAATGGCTTCTGTTATGTATACATGTATGTATAATGGCCTGAAACTTGTCACATGGCCACCCCTAGCTAGAATAAAGGCTAGGAAAGCTGAGCACATCACACAATACAAAATAAGGCCCTTCTGCAAAATCAGGCCTCTAAATATGAATAGAAGAAAGAGTGAATATTGGTTGGCAACTAGCAGTCTGCCACTCTTAGTAGAAAACAGATTATCTTATACTGTGGCAATGCTACATAACAGAGAAAGTTCAAAGTATGCTATAGCTGTGGAGAGACCAGAAGCCTAAATATTAATTAAGAATAAAAATGGAAAGGTACAGAGACTTGATAAAGGCAGGAAGGTTATTTTCTACTTAAAGACAGAAAATGGACTCATGAGGTGGGAATTAAGTAGTAAAAAGGGTGAGCAAAGGGAGGTTTATATTGTCACAACACCATTGTGATCTTTGTTTTGGACAGGGAGATAAGTACCAGTCTTAGAAAAAAATAATTCAAGTTGGTAATTGTGTGGGTGTTGAAGTACATTTAAAGAGAGAACCAACGTGACAAGATCATAATTCAAAAATATTGATATCTACCTTGTGGTGTTGAGAGACACATATATGAAAAAGACCCAATTTGAGCCTTTAAGGAGTATTTTTTTATCATGGAAAGACTCTTGAGCAAATAGTGAAATTCAAGACAGAATGAACTAAATATTATAATTAAAATATATAAAAGTACTAAGTACCTGCAAGTAAGGAGGAATGAGGGATTAGTTTGGACTCAGAGGTCAGAGGGAGAGTCAGGAAAGGCCTCAAGTTTACAATGTCATAGGAGCTGAGCCCTGAAAGATATTAGACAAAACTGGGAAGAAATATACTGTGGGCTGAGAGAACTGGTATACGAAACTGAGACATGAAAGTGTTTTTATTTTTTTACCTGGCAAAATATATCTGTGACATTTAATAGAACTTGATTTTCTTTTCTTTTAGGGATATGAACCCTCGTTTATTCACAAGATCAAACACAAACATATCCTGGCTAAGAACTATTTTTCTCAAATTCCAGTGCTGGCTTCATTTATACTTGATGATGGTGAGATAGATGAGATCAGAAAGAAATATCACTCAGAAACAACACCTAAGATTATAGTGTCCCAGAGACCTAGTCCCTAGAAGATCCAGGAGTGTTTGATGATCAGCACTTTTGTCCACTGCTAATAGAGTAATAAGAGACCACACAATATGGAAATAGAATTTTATCTTTTTATTGATTTTAATTGTTTTTTGTTTCTCATATTATCATAAGTTGTATAAAGATAAAACATCCCTATATAAATGCTTTATTGTTACACAATTAGTGATCAATTGAAATATAGTTTTGTTCCTGAAATTAATGTTTTAAGGTAAAGAGAACATTTTATTCTTCACATTTTTACATTAAAATATTTAAAATCTCAAGTGCACTATATTAAAACCAACAAACAAAACCTAGGCTCAACTTTCAACTCAAGTAATTTATTTTAAGGTAAATGTAGTTATAGAAGAATAGTCAGTATGTGGATGGGAGGAAACATAGAATTCCATTTTTGAAAATCTTTATAGGTAAGACAAAAGATGCTATGCTTTAATACAGTAATGTGAATCTTCACTTTTTATCTTCTACTTTTATCTTCCATTCTTCCTGAAATCCCAGTAAAACAACTGGAATTATTTATAAACAAACAAATAAACGCATTCTATGCTGGAAAACAGGGTAAACGGTAGAACTATCTTTTACCTTGGGAGTAAAACTGCCAGTGGGGCAATGATGAAATTCTGTAGGAAGAATAAACTTGGTTAAATAAACTATAGCAACCCCTTTCCCCAATAAGCCAAAGGAATAACCTTAACCGCATGCATGTCAGACTTACAGTGATGAATAAGAATGTGTGAGTCAGTCTTAAAAGGAGATTGATGGCACACTCAAAATAGGAAAATTCAAGGAGGGTTTATTTACAAAGGGCCTTATTATAAAGTGTGGGCAGTGTGTAGGGAAACTAAAGGAATAGTGCATGAACCCTGGGCCAGTACGAGATAAGCTGTCTCTACTGCTAGTCTCCAATGAGCCTGGGGAGGGAGAGGTCTGAGAACTCAGAGTGTAACGTAGATATATGAGAGGATCAGAAAACAACTGTCAAGGGATGGCCAACCCTAGATGGTCTCAGGAACTGGAGAAATAAATACTCTAATTTCATACTTCTCCCTTCCTCCAGTCTCCTGCTTGCATTTCCCATTTATAGAACCCAGAAGTAAAGCAAGAGAAATAGAAGTCTGTTGGAATAATTCATGCAGCTCTGGGGCAAAGAGTAGAAGAGATAATGGGAAAAGTGGAGCTGGATGACTAAATAGAAGATACTTCGCTAGAGAGAAAGAATTTAAAGTGAAACTCTATAACTCAAGTAGCAGTATTTCTCACACACACACACACACACACGCACACACGCACAATAATTTGGGGGTGGGGTGGGGGGAGAATCTCCTAATTCCAATCAGTAGATAATGAGCTGTTCTCTTAAGTTTAGTGATCAAGGAATTCAATCTAAATATTAATATTTGTTCTATATAAATATTTGCCAACATTTCAACAACATATTTTGTAGGATATCTACAATTTTTTTTTAATTTAGCAAAATCGTGGTACATGGCAATTATTTGTAAGGAACTAAACATCAAAGGAACAAAGTGCTATAATGCTATTAATTTCAAGGTTTCATGGACAATTCAGACATTCTGGGAACTTTCTAAATGGTGAATTACAGATGGGGTTAGACTGATCACTGATAAACAGGTAACAACTTAAGGCAGACCAGAGTGGGTTTACACTGGAATGTAAATTATCAGATTTTCACAAGACAATGTAGGAGAATGCCCCATCTTAGAGATGGAAGGGTGGGGAGGCAAGCAGCAAGGGAGAAATATTCAGATAGGGACAAATAAGAGACTTTGAGAATTCTTCTATTTGCCCCAAGGGCGAATCAACTGACTAGATAGCGTTTGCTCTTAGTATAGAAGATTTTGGAATACAACAAGGAGGGGTGGACCAACCAGAGCAATTAAATTCATTAATGGAAAGGGGCAGTACCTACAGGGCTGGGAGAATAACCATTAAGCGGAAAACACAGCTCAACAGCAGAAAGACTTTCCTCAATAAAGTCAACTATTCTGGTAAACACTTTTCAATCCTTCTAGAACTACTTGTTTTACACAGCTATCTGAAAATCCACAGCAGAAGGGACGAGAAGAGGGATCTGGCTAGAGAGCCATCAGTGGGCGGAGTGGGGGCGGAGGGGGAGTCAGGTTGCTACCCACTAAAATTTTAACTCCAGCATACTGGAGAGCAATGACTTGTTGAGCAGTTAGGTTCTCCTGCTTCCATAGTATCTGCATTCCTCAACTTTATGGCCTGATGAACATATTTCCCTTAGCCCACTAACTAAAATGAAGCTGTAGAAGGTGTTTCCTTCTTTCTCTTTTATGAAGACTGTATTATATGGTTACAGGCCTAACAATAGAATAGAACAATATTTTACAAATTGCAAAACAAGCTGATCAAGAATAGTCACTATATATATGCGTGTATATATATGTGTGTGTGTGTGCGCGTGTGTGTGTATACGTGTATATATATGTGTGTGTATGTATACACATATATACATATGTATATGTGTATATATATATATATGTATGTATAAATATAGTGACTATTCTTGATCAGCTTGTATCTATCTATCTATCTATCTGGATTAAAAAATTAAAAAGGGACCCTTCTGAGGAATGATATTCACATAACAAATCTCTTCATTCATGTTAAGGATATTTGATAGCATTTTTCGTCCTTTGGGGAGAAATTGATACTGGGAAAAAATTGCTATTACCCAGATAAACAATTGCTAAATTCCCAAAAACAACACATAAATGGCAATGACCAGCAGGTTTCATTCTTGAAAGAGATTTGATGGATTAGCTCAACATAGTTCCCTAGAATTTAGAGGAAAGGGACAAAGTAATGAAATAGATGAGCAAAAATAATAAGTTTAACGAACTTACTAGAAATAACAATACACTAGAAATAACATAAGCCTAGAATGGAGTAGAAAAGGAGAAGCAATTAGCAAAGAGAGATTTAAAGCCGATTTTCCCAAGCTAAAAAGATCTATAACCTTAGCTGTATAAAGAATCTACCAAGTACTGGGAAAATTAACATACAGACACACATAGAAACAAACTCATGGTATTTCTGAATTTCAGGAATATTGGACAAATTCCATAAGCATGCAAGTTGGAGGGGGAAAGTAGCCACAAGAAAATAAAATCAATAGCAGCCTCATAGATTTCTGTTACCCAACACTAAATGCCAGAAGGAAGGAACATTTCTATTGAAGGATTTCGAATTTTGAGGGTAAAAAAGATGATTTAAGAATTTTACTTTTGGGAAAATATTTGTGAAGATAGCAGAAAGACATTGTTAAGCAGAAAGCATATCATGAATCTCTATGTACCCATTCTGTACTCCAGCCAACCTTAAAACTATAGAAGTAAGGTATGGACGTGACACCGTATATGAGAAAAGGCAGTGAGCACTGCAAGTTCAAGATCCTTTCTAAATGATCATTTGTGTGGTTATGAAACAATGTAATGGACAAAAATAATTCCTCAAATGAAAATCTATACTGCAAAAAAAAAAAAAAAATCAATCTACCAAAATAATACCCTGACTATTCCAATTAAATGTCTACTATAGGAGCATTCAGAGGGATAAAAGTGTTCCAAGTCTTTTTAATGGGAGAAGTTTCAACAGATAGATAGGAAAGTAGATATTAAAATATTTAGTTAAAAAATTTAAAGACTAATGCTAGCAGAATGAAAATTGAATTATAAACTTCACGTTTCTGGAGGCAAAAAGGGAACAACAAACTTGAAAACTATTATGAAATAAAGCGTTTTTGTTTTTATTTTCTAAGGTGAGCAGGAAGAAGTACATATAAGAAACCAGGTTAAAAAATCACAGTGCGTAAATTCAGATAGGTAAAGTTATCTAGTAAAGGATAGTTATTATCATAGTGTATCCAAAGAGTGAACTATTTGCTGTGTACCAGATATATACCCCAAATGGAATGACATAGAAAGGTTAAAAATAATGATACTTTGTAAAATTGCAATAGTCATATGTAAGCAGACAACAAAAAAATAATGGTAGCAATATTAATTTCCTGGATGAAACTGAGAAGAAAAACAGCAGAGCAAAGAGAGTTACTTTATCTTGATAAATTATTATTCACAGTATAAATGAATAATTAATCTCCATGTTAGATACAAAAGTAAGTTTAAAAAAAGTCATTTGAAAGACAATTCTCCATAGGCTTCTTGCACTTCTGAATGTCTTTTGAGCAGAGGTAGTAGTTGAGCAGAGGTAGTAGTAGAAAAATAAGTTTTTCAGACTTATTTTGAAGGATGTTTGTGTAGCAAGCAGTCTTGGAAGATAGGGATAGTGTTTACTGTTCACTATAAAAGATTCAGAGTCTCTAAGCCCAGGATTTCTATCCTGCAAACAACTCACTGTGTGTGCATGTGGCGTCTGGACCTTGTATCACCCTGGTGGAATTAGGGCAAAATGCTGATATTCTGGCCGCTGCTATTTCTGTGAACAATAGATTCTGCTTCATCCCTGACCTAGGAGTCTCATGTCTTCCACTCTCATCTACGAAATTCCAGCAGGCAAATTTGTTAGCATCTCAGACCCTTTGCAGTTCTTGACGCAGATAACCTTAAAAATGAAAAAATCGTGAGTCAAGAGGTAGAAAATGTTTCTCCTCTCTTTCCAGGGGTACTGGGTGACTGATTGCAATTCTTCATCCTCTTGAAATGTGGCAGGATTATGTAACATGCTTTGCCCAAAGTATTATGCAAGTAAAATTGTCTTGTGTCGCAAATGAGCATTGAAAGAAAGAGTAATTCTAAAGAAATATCTATAGATATTCCTCTAAGAAGTAGAAAAAGAGTGAATCCTCCCCAACTCATGAGGCCAACATATCCTCGATACCAAAATTTGACAAGGATAGTACAAGAAAATGATAGGCCACTTTCACAATGAATATAGATGCAAAAATCCTAAACAAAATATTAGCAAATAAAAT